CAAAATTCTAACTCACAAAAAAAGACCAGACTTACTGGCCTGACAGAGACTGGAGAAACCTCGAGAGTACGGCCCCCAGACACCCTTTTAGCTGAGTAATGAAGTCACTCCCGAGGTTCACCCTTCAGCAAAAGATTAGACAGCCCCATAAAACAAAATTAGACTAAGGGGCACACCAGCCCAGGGACAAGGACTAGAAGGCAGAAGGGGACAGGAAAGCTGGTAATAGGGAACCCAAGGTCGAGAACGGGGAGTGTTGACATGTCGTGGGGTTGTTAACCAATGTCATAAAACAATGTGTATTAACTGTTTAATGAGAAACTATTTGTTCTGTAAACCTTCATCTAAAGTACAATAAAAGAAATCGGAAAAAAAAAAAAAGATTACAGCCAAGAAACCCTATGGAGTTCTACTCTGTAACACATAACCAAAAAAACCAAACCCACTACCATCGAGTCGATTCCAACTCCTAGTGACCCTAGAGAACAGAGTACAACTGCCCCACAGGGTTTCCCAAGGAGCGCCTGGTGGATTCGAACTGCCAACCTTTTCATTAGCAGCCAAACTCTTAGCCACCACGCCGCCAGGGTTTCCCTGCAACACGTATGGTTGCCATAAGTCAGAATCGGCAGCAATGGGTTTGTTTTTTTTTAACACTTACAAATAAATGCCCCTTTATACAAAGAGAGAGCAGGCCTGGGTCACTCAGACTGGCAGCAGTAGCTGTAACTTAATAATAACATTTGTTTGTTTTACACTTCTTCTTATAGTTATTTCTGTTTGAGAAAGTAATACTGGTTTTCCATTTACAGTGACATGTATATCTCCCCTTACAGAAAATTCTTTTAAATAACAAGATCCATTTAAAGAAAAATATCAAGTAAATAATGGTAGGTACCCTCTGCAGATAGGGGGAACATCTTGAGAATATTAATCAAATAACTAAAGTTATAGAAACACTGCCTTGAGACACAAATATTCCATCTCAAGAAACAGGTTCATAATTTATGAGTAAGAGTCAGTACAAAGTGAAATGCTTTTAGGGGTGAAAA